TACGCACGCGACGTCACCTCCTGGAGCAAGAGCGACGGGACGAAATGACGCAAGTAAGTGACTCGGACGCGGCGTCTCTAGACTTGAACGTAATCTCGATCAAGTATCAATTCTACCTCGTCCTTATTGCTCTCGGTGTCCTTATTTGCTTGTCTGGCAACATCATCATCTACTCGCACGTTTGCCCGTTAAACATGTGACCCCAGAGAAAAAAGGTGTGCTAAAAAAAAAAAAACAAAAGGAAAGAGAAAAAGACGACAGCATCGGGGAACGCGATCTTCGCGTTTCCCTCGTGCTATATCTCGATACATCTCTCCGTGAAGTGTTCACAAGGGTGCTTGAACAACGCAAAGGTGTTCAAGTAAAAAGAGAAAGAAAAACGAGCTACAGATTGTCATCGTCGATGATGATCACGTTTTTTCACTTTACATTACGATAGCTCTAGAGATTACTTAACAAAGAAGCAAAGAAAAGAAAATAATAATAAAAAATGCTTAAGGTGCTTGAAAGCAACGTACGGCGTCTAATACTATTATCAGGGTTTTCACCTGAATGTAACATAATGTAACTGATGTACAATTGCATTGTTAACGGGACAATATTTGTCCGATGTATTAATTGAATCGTTTTCGATGTATAAAAAAAAGGAAAAAAAAAAAGGAAACGTTTCAACTTTTTTTTTTTATATACTATAACTCGCGCTTGTCTCTACGAAGCTTCTATCACGGATTTCTACTATGAAGTGCGCCTAACTTCTCACGATAGTCGCCTGTAGAGAATTTTAACGCTTATTTTTTTATAGCGAATTAGATAGAGAAGCTTAATGACGATAAGCTGCTTGAACAATGAAAAGAAACGATAAAAGTGCCAGTGTTGACGAGATATTGCCGGACAAATATGGCATTCCGTGGAATGTTATACATTAAGTACCTTGTAGACGACTGTTAAGGTGAACAGAGTAAATGAAAAAAAAAAAAAAAGAAAAGAAGAACGTTTTATGTACATATCTGGGCTTGTTTTTTGTAGAAACATCTATATATATATATATATGGGTTTGTTATGCGAGAAAAAAAGAACGAACTGTTGTTATGATATACATATATATAATATATATATACGAATACTGTTGATTAATAAATTTTTCTTACAAAAATTGGCCTTCGATCTTGTCACGATACGATTAATGCACGCACACTTTCTATTTTCTATATTATATTCTATTTTTTTTCACACTCGTACGTCTGTTATTAAGCATTCTACTCACTCGGTCCGAGAGAATTAACGCTCCCGATTAACAAACCCAGTGTATCTTGTTAACAATTTTGTTGGGGTACGTCCGCACGTGCACTTTGTCGAGTGCTGATGTGGAGATTTAAAGAGACCTAACTAACCGAACTTTTTAAGGTAATGTATTGTCGCGATTACATAATCATTTCTGTTATTATTATAACTTTATTTTCTCTCTACCCCCCCTCCCCCCTTCGTTTTTATTCATTAATTCGGATTTTACATTCCATCGAGTCGCTCGATCGTGTCTCGTATGAATCGACCTTTTGTAACAACCAGCTATGTTAGCCCCCTTCGTACATTTATTATCGTTGGTGCATAAAAAAGAACGGCATGCTTTCATTTTTATTTTTATCCATTGAACACATTATTCTTCTCTCGTAACCGATAACCGAGTATCTGTGTACATGGTGATTTGTAAAATTTGTATTTTATTTAATTTTTTTTTTATAATTTTTTCTTCGTTCTTATCACTTTATAAGTTCAGAATATTCATTTTTCATCCGAATTTACTATAAAAAAAGAATACATAGAAAAGAGAGAAAGAACGGAACGCGCCTAAAACTATATTTTTTTTCAGTTGTCTTTTTTGTTAATGCATCGATATCTGTGTGTGTGTGGTACTAGGTAGAAAATTTATGTAGGGAAGTTGCCTCTCTTCGCACAACATTGCAGTCCAAGCATCGTCAGTTTCAAGAGTTCATGAGCAATCACGAACGCGCTCAAAGATTCCATCAATGGTGGGAGAAGGTAAGAGTCACTAGAGGGAACGGAGAAAAATTCGACATAACCAATGCGGCACGTGTAGTCTGTAGTTTGATGGCCCGAACGACTGTGAAAAAAAAAAAAAAAAAGAAAAAGACCAAGTTAATCGCACGTAACATATGACCCTGCATCTTGTTCATGTTTTGTTTTTACTTTCTTTCTTTTTTTAATTCTTGTTAATTTTCACTCCTTTGTTCCTCCTTTTCTTATTCTTACGTTCCCGATTGTGTGGAATTACCGTAATGAAGTATACTAACGTAGAGTGTCAAGGATTCGCAGTTTTTCAGTTCAGAAAGAAAAATGTACCATTTCAGACAGACGATGGTGCTGGTAGTGACGGCAGTTTGCCAGAATCATGGTCGAGCTTGAACGATGATAAATGCGTTGACGCGGTGAGAGAGCTTGTTAATCATCACGTAAGTGAACCTAGAACTGTGTCTATTCTTTGGTCTAATTATAATCTTAATGTGCAGAGTGATTCAAGGAACTGGGGCAAGTTGAGGCTCTTTTTCTAAACTGGGACATTATCTTTCATCAAGCCACGTTTCTTTACCTATGATAATGTATCTCTTGCATAAAATCGTGCAAGCAAAAACGAACGATTAAAAAAAAAAAAAAGAAAAAATACACTGTCGTTAACAGAAATATTGTATAATAAAGTAGTTACAACTTGTCCTAGTATCTGTTATCAGTAAAACATTCCAAAAATATTAACAGCTAAGATTAAAATCTAAAAGCTTTAAATCTTAAGCAAAATCTACCTTCCAGAAAAAGGAATTGGCTGTTTTGGAAACAGAACTGCAGAACAAGGTGAAATCCCTCAATGAGCACCAAAGTAAGGTAGACAAGATGGAAGAAGAGTTGATGGAGATAGCTAAAAAACAAAAGCACATATTAAACTTAGAAGTAAGTATTCTAAATGAATTCAAAATTGATCAATAACTTACATAATTTCATTGTCACTAATCATTACATATTTCTGTCAGTTGGAGGGAGAAGGAGGTACAGAGAAGAAGTTGCTTCTCGCTAAACGAAGCCAAGAGCAGCTGCAAGAGATCTTGAAGAGAAAACAGAGTCTAACGTTGAACCTGAAACGTGCGTTACCCGCTTCTTCAGTTGATCGTTCCCCGAACAATGACGAGGTCCTTTCGAATGGAGACGCGCCGTCGTTCCAGGATGCTTGTAATAGGAAGCTTCAAATAGCTTCTGCGTTGAATCTACTGCCACAAAATATCCCCAGTTCCGTAGATACAGAGGATACCTTTCACACGGCTGCGGATGATTGGCCTGAACCTCGCTGTCCCTTCGAAGATTCACAAACGAAAGAATCAAAGATCTCACATGAAGATGAGCAAAAGGAACCAGTGGACACGCAGAAGAAAGCATCTTCAGAAGTTCACTTAGAACACGACAGGGCGAAACTGTGCGAAATAGAAGGCAGAAGTTCGTTGAATCTCAATAGAAAATCATCGCCTATAGAGATGGTCATAAAATCGGAGAAGTGCAATGGCAGTGCTAACGGTGAGAAAACGGATTCGAAGTCTCTAACGAATTCTATCACCGAGGAGGATATTCCTGAAGACTCGCTGGAGTCACCGGTGCAACAGAATCCAGCGATGAAACGATTGAACCAAAGAATCGCTCGTCAACGAATGATGGTAATGAGGTGCCTGGAAGCAAATACGCCATCTAAAGAAGATCTGAATAAACAAATTGTGATCCTACAGGATTTACAGAAGCAACAGATTGAGTTAGAAGTTGCGTTGCTGGAGGATGAACGGAAGAGTCTAAAACAACAGTCTGAGTCACAGTGCAGCAATGATAGATTGTCAGTCAGTGACGATAATGAACTTGTACAAACTGTAGAAACAAAATCGTGCCGTGATCTAGAGTCCACGGCAAATTCGGCCACGCTGTTGACCATATCCACAACGCGATCTCCAATTCTCAGGAACAACAGGCCTAATACCAATGAGGAAATTAACCTGTCGGAATCGCTTGCGCCTCGAATATCTTCATCGGGAAGAGGATACTCGACTGTGTATTTAACGGTAACTTATCTGAGCATCTTTAAGTTGGAAACTTCAAGATATAGATAGTACTTCAGACTATGAGAGGTTAACGTTTTATTTTTATCATGTTTCATGTTCACTTTAGAGTCAAAATCGTGGCGATCGTTTGAGTAGTCCTTATTCCTTGACAATCACAAGGTCCTTGCCGTCTTTGATTGCAAACGATGCTGGCTACGATAGTGTGATTAACATGATCGTTAGTATACCCTCATACGTAATACGCGGAGCTGGCACGTCCAGTCATTACGAGTACGAGGTACGTGTTGTGGCGCAGGACGATAGTTGGACGCTTTTACGTAGATACAGAAGATTTCGAGAGTTGTATATTTCTATGCGACAAAAGTATGGTAGCAAGGTAAGTAGTCTAATGTTTTCCATATTGTATGAAACTATATCTGATTACAAATGATTGTAATCACCTTTAATAGCCAGAAATTGTATCGTAAAAACTGGCTATAGTCATTTGTTGTGACAAAGTTTTTATGTTAGAGAATTTTTTAACTTTTTTAGTGGTTTTTTTTACTATTTAATTATACAGGTAGCAGCAATACGCTTTCCACCTCGACAAATTTTCCCAAGGCACGAGGTTGTGGCACGGCAACGTAGAAAACGTTTAGAGGAATATTTACGACGGCTGATTCAAGTCTGTTCAGAATTGCCGCACTGTGAACCTCTCTACAAGTACAACGGCAATTTAAGAAACATAGATAAGCAATCGTTGCTGGAATTTAGTTCGTTCTTCAGACGTGGAACGTTCGAGAGCAGCAAGTACGGAACTAGCTAAGAAAAAATTAATGAAAAAGAAAAGAGCATTATACGATTCCCCGAGGATAGAAGAATGAACAAATTCGAGTGGACGCATAGGAGATATTTATAATTCGTTATTGTATTTTTTATAAAGACGAACTAAAGAAAAGCTAAAGTGGGAAAAATATTAGCAAAGTATAGTTACCACTTTTTGCGATGATTATTGTATATTTACCAAAATGCGTTTCCAAAAGTTTCTTGTTTATAAGACTGATATATATTGCATATTTAATATTTGTTTTTGTTCTTAGCGATAGTGAAAGAAAGAAAGAAAGAAGATTACTCGCGAGATTTATGTATAAGGGGAAATACAAGATTTTACGTGTCTCGATGATATTCACGACATTAGATTCTAGTGAAAATTATACATCACAATGGACAACGATGGAATTTCAGTGATCTGATTAATCGCTAACGGGTTGCAAATATTTTCCTAATGTTTTTCTCCCGTTAGAATTGAGTGTACCTTTCTTGCTTTTCGACTTCGAACGAAATAGTTGATTTCATTGAATCTAAACTCGCGTCTATCGCTAGTGGATTTTTAGGTAGACCAGTATTGTTACAAGATACGCACGATATATAAAGATAATTTTTTTGTGCGCACAACCACGGTGACCATAATGTGTCGGGCGTTTATATGCTCGTGATAATAATTAGATTTCATAAAATGATCGCATTTATTTTTTCGTTGAACAGCGTCTTTTACACCTCGTCGTGAGTGAAAAATAATCAACTGGATATTAAAAGGAAAGAAGAAAAAAAAAAGAAGAAATGAACTTCCTCCTAGTATGTAGGCTATAAACTTAATGAATTATCATAATTTTACGAAGTGCAAATGATATCATATCGCTGTTGAAGTTCTTCCGGTTCCGGGGATTTATATTATAATATATATATTGTATATGTATATACTGCGTTTTGCGGCAAAGTTTGTAAAGAAAAATGATAAAAAAATGTAAGGAACAGCGATGTTAAAGTTGACTTGGATTCGTTATGCGAAGCTTATGGTAATGAAAGAGTTATTAGTAAACGCTAACTTTGATATTATCGATTATTCTCGGCAAAATGTTTATTCGCTATATTTATGAAGCTGCTTCTCGAAAAAAAAAAAAATAAACTATGGCGCGGAATTTCGACGGCATGCAGAAAGAATATATACTCTTCTTAAATCCAAGGATTCTATTATTGTAACAATAAAAAAAGAATCTTGTCTTTCCATTACACGGCCATATCATTTTGCCTTGAATTCTCTGAGTAACAAGAACGTTATTATTGAATCTTGTACTTAAATCCTTGTTGTTTAATATCGAATGAAACTCATAGCAATACGTATTGTCATTGAAGTGGATATTCAAGTTTGTGATTGATGACGAATGATAATTATTCCATGGCTGTGTATAAACGGACTTCAAACCCCGAGGAATTAACTTGTACGGCTAGTGGTACTAGTAGTTCGTAGCCGCGAGGTCTGTACATTTAGCAAATTGTTTAGACAAACATTATACCTCATGTTTCATACGGTTTCTGAGAAAAAAAAAAAAATATTAAGGAAAAACGATTATCAACCGCTTTTTTTATACTACTTTACATAGATTTATATGATCTATGTTCTCTAAATGTAAAGACACAATAAATTGTCATAGCTCGATTAATTTAATTATTTCAAATCACTATCTTGCTACCTATAAGAAAGAAGAAAACTACAAATTATACATTTAAAAAGAAACTAAAAATCATTAAGGACTTTGAATGTTGTTTAATACTTAACGTGCAATGGATATCAGACAAATACAATCGTTATTTATTATTTCTGTTATTCATCTTACAAATGTAAATTTTTGTATCTTGAGCATTTATTTCTGCGATACTAGATTTCTATCCAATATAACTGTTCCATAATGAAATACTTATCATTAAAAAATACTGGATCATCTAGATTATATAATGCAAATTTTTTCATCTTCATTTGTACCATGTCACGAGATGGACGATATACCCCAGATATAAATTTACAAATGACAAAATTACGAACGGCGAATTTAAACGAAATATAAAAGCTAGTCGATCGATAAGTGAATAGGCACTATCTTTTTGTAATAAATTATGAATGTTATGCTTATCATACCTATAGTTAAATGAACACTTGCTCGGTTGCTAAATTATCCGCAAACGGCGCAACGATTACCCTGGTGGCGAAATAAAATGTTAAACCAAACGTAATAGAGATCGGTAATGCGGGCAATGCTTTCTTGAATATAGCCAGCAACAATAATGTTAAACAAAGCCCCTGAAAATAAAGATGTTCGTAATAAAACTCAATGAAATTTTGTACTATTTAAACACGAAATATAAGCAATGAGTACATACGATGAGAATGGCAACGAAACAAGCCAAAGTAGTATTCCAATCACCATAACTGGAAGCTTTTCCAACTAAAACGCTGTAGAATATAAAATCACCGAGACCTAACTTCACCCCTCGTTCTTCTTCTATAACCGCAACTTGTTGTCCTTGTGATTCACGCACAATGCGAGTTTCTTGTTGTCTCGTGTTTTCTGATATGGATGATGAATTTTCGCGTACTTCTTGCGCTCGTCTCGCTCCTCGATCACCTAATAGTATAATATGTAACGTTAGTAATCATTTATACATAATGGATAAACTTATTTACTACCATGTGTTTCCATCCATTCAAGAGTAAACCCGCCTTCTTCTGCATCTCCTGATGCAGGATTATTTTGATTATCCGCTTGACCGCGCACAGGATATTGCGTATTATCGCCAGCACCAGAATCGCTGGTAGCCATCGTTGCTGCTTGTACATAACCGGCATAAGTCATCGTGGCTGTATACATGATTGTAGAAGAATAGATTAATGCAGGAAAAATAGATTCATTTCGTTCTTGAGCAGTTTCTACAAGTATCCTTAGAGGCCCCTTCGGTGTTAATACCGCGATCAAATCTGAATAGAGAAATAATAAAAGATTATATTTCATTCGCTATATATTCATATCTTTTTTATTGTGAAACCTCTTTTACCCCAAATGCTGATAACACCTAGTACAACCCATGCTGTCCATTCTGGCAAATATTTAATAAAAACAAGTGCCATCAGGGCAGAGATGAAAATAAGATATGCTTGTTGTAACTGCAAGGGACCTTGCCAATGTATACATATCATTCCAACAACTCCAAAATTCCATGCAACTATACCTAATGTAAACAAATCCATTGGAATGTTGTATGCTTTTAATACTTGCCTGTAAAGGTGATTTTTTTTAGATAATAGAATAATAAAAAATTATTGGTAAAATTAATGTACTCACTCGCAAAATAGAATAGAAAACAGAGATAACAATATTAAGGAACTTATTATCAACCATCCATGGATTACTCTATAAAACTTGTATTTATATAGTACAATAAGTATCACAGTCATAACTACAATGACACTCATGAGTATCAAAGAATTGGCAACTGCTTGCCAAGCTTTGGTACTTGTCTCATTACTGTCTTCATGAAATGGAGTGTATAGTCTGAAAGATCCAATACATTAAAATGAATAATAATAAAATGAACTTTAGGAAAGAAGACTTTCAAACACTTACAAGTACATTCCTTTGGTTGTATAGAAATGTATATTACTAATTGTCGCAACTACAACTAACATACAAAGAGATACAGGCACAAATAATTTAATAACATGTGCTGCTCCATATTTTAATTCTTCTTCCTGTTCCTCTCTATAATTCCTTGATCTATCTTGACCACTGTTACCTGATACAGCTCTTCTACCTGAACTTGCATTGTTTGACATACTTTGTGTCTGAATGTGTACTTCAGGAAGGTCATTTTCAACCTATAATTTGTATATATTTTCAGGTAAATCATTTTATCGACATTGTTAATTTATTTTTATTAAAAAATATAAAAACTATGGTAAGTGATTAATACTGTTAAATTACCTCTTCGTTACTAATACGCGAACGCCTTTTCCGACCAGTGACTAAGCCCAGGTCGTCCGTCCGAGATTCCGCGACGTGACCGTCCATTAGGCTTGTATATTCGTCCGCCGAATCGTAAGTATCACTCTCAGACATTCATCAACGCTTATGCTTGTGAACAAATTAACATAAGAACCCTTTGACAGTCCCACGCACACTTTTTTTTGTACTTCCGCGCTCTGTTTGCTATCGTCACACAACAGCGTACGATCACATCCGAAAAATCGCGATATAAAAATATTTAATCAATTTCTGTTTGCTAAGAGTTGTTTATGAGATTCAATTACTGAAAAACACAATGCAAGAAACCATCGATTACTTAAAAATGAACACTTCCGTTAATTTGTTATTTTACAAATAAACTCTCCACCTGGTAGCAGCCATTTTAGGACATGACTCATTAATCCGCCCTCTATCGTTGAGCATAGGGAACTAGTAAGAGCGCAATTTCCTATTTCAAATTTCAAATAACCTAATTTCGAGCTTCTCAAGGAATTACATGGAGTTCGTTGAAATTGATTCATCATAATTTTATTGTGCAATAAAATGTACATTCCATCGCAGAAATGTGTACAATCAGTACGATATCGGAGAAATCTTTGGGTAACAAATTTTTGTTACAGGGGAATCATGTATTAAGTCAATTCCAAATATCGTCTCTACAAAAAAATTTCCTAATATGTTCAGTTAAATGCAATTATGCAATTGTAATTATACTGGATTACTATCTGTCCTATATCGCTATAAATTCTGCAAACGTCCTTACGGAACTCGAATTTCGTAATACAGATTGTACAGCAGTAATTTTATTAAAAATTTCGGAAATACTATTCGTTACTTTAAGAATCGCAAATGGCGCTACAAAATTTCTAAATGCCATAAATTTCAACGGTGTTCCCATTAGACTAAAGATTTGAAAGAATTACAGTTTTTTTTTTCTCGCTGTTTAATTCACGTGAACAAGAAATTAGACAAGTACCTACACGATTCTATTTTTGGCAAAAGGTTGAATCAGAGGGCAACATATAGCATTCCTCTTGGTTGTATAAAACAATTATTGTATGTGTATATAGATATATATATATATTAACTCTGTTTTACATCGATATAGAAGTGACGAATCGTAAACTCGTACCCTTTGTACATGTTCTCTGTTTTAGATTATCGAAAAAACAAACACCCTCATACAAGAAAAGAGATACAGTAAAATTTGTATAATATCGATTATCTTGCGTGAACAATTGATATTTTTAAATGTTCTTTTCTTTTTTTTTTTAGTATCTCTTATACACATAGACGATTTGATTATATCATTTTGTTAACGAAAAGTAACGAAGAAAATTGGAAAGAACGAAGTAATCTTATTAATATAAATTGAAGCTTTCATGTTACTGACAGAAGAGGCTCTACAGTGTTATCTCATGGAAATGTTTCAATGATTCCCTTTCAACGTTTCTCACAGCATACATTCGTTAAATTTAATTCTGAAGATGTTACAAGCGTAATTATCCAGTAAGAAAAATAGTTCGGTGCTGTGCTAATAATGTTAACAGCAATTTGTATATTTATAACATAAATAATAGCGAGCAATTGTTATAATGACATTAATAAAGATAGTTAATTAAGTACGAGGTTTAAATACGATTTGTAAAAGCATTCTTACGCAAGACTGTAATAAGTTTCTTCTTTTTTTTCTTCTTCTCTTCTCTATATGTATATATGTATATATGTATATATGTATATACGCATATATTATATCGACCAATATTTTCATCTTTTTTTTTTCGTTCCGATAACATAGCAATACAATGTTACGCAGAGAACAATTTCCATTCAATGACTTTAACGTCATTCACATGCTTAACAGTTTATGTACAATACATATACACACGGCTCTTCTTCTCAATCTACTTCGTTATAAATTAGTGAAAAAATAATGCTGCTTTGGCCATGGTCTGCGTATCGGTAATTATTATTTACCTACAACTTCGTTGCTAAATACCTACACACGTTCGAATGCGGTTCCTCTGATAATCCTCAAAATGGTCAAAAAACTCGAAATGTATATTTATTACAATCTCAACTCGAATATCGTATTCACCACGATATAATATAATTTCTTCCCTAAAATTCCATTCATATATCGACAGCGACGAATAATATTTAATACTCTGATTATTATCACTGTGTTCAAGATGAATTCTTTCTGAAGCAAAGAATATTCTTATTCGCTTTTTCAATTATATTTCGTTTACTTTCAAAACTCTTTTCAATTTCATTTCACATTTTTTTCTTTCTCTCTTGCTCTCTCTCTTTTTTTTTTGTTCCTTTTCATATTTACTATTATTACTCAGAAATAACACGTTTTGACACAGTATTTAAAATACTTCTATTTTATGTATCGTAAAGCACCAAGTACCTGCAACTTTGGTATGACAACAAAAACTGTTCCCTAATTGATTTCTTGCTCTATACAATGTACACCAACTAAGACAAACATCTCGTGTGTTCGACGTATGTTTCAAGAAAAGTTCTGATCGTTTAATTCGAATATACAAAACGTAAATGGAATGCTTTTAATCATCCTCGGAGATACATCGAAAGTTTAACTCAAACAACGGATAATGAAGAAGATGCAGAAAAGATCGTTTGTATGGAATGTAACGCGTGAACAAATTTGTTTTTCTTTTTAAAAGACAGCGTTAAATTATCACTTAACAATGTTAAACCGAAATCAGACCGACATCAAACAGATGAATTATAACTTATTACAGTACCTAAGAGACGTGGCGTTGATTCGTAAAACTTTGATGTTAAAAAATAACATTTGATTCTTATTCAACACTCATATAGACGCGTACTATGATTATATGGTAATCATGTTTCTTTTCTTGTTTTCATCACCTTACTACATTACAAGAAATAAAATGTTATTTTTTTTTTATGAAGGCATGTATATATATATATATAACATCGAGGAGCTCGTTATCTTCGATATAAATTAAGATAGAAGCTTTTAGTCGATATTAATTATTTAAGCTTACCTATTCAAGTACAAGGGTAAACTGATCTTAAGAAAGTACTGTACAATGAAAATAGCTGTCATGTGACACACTAATCAGTGTATATTAACAAATATCTAGTTGCTATTGTATTACCTATGATCCGTTAAATCTTCTCGTATATTTACGTTTCCAATAAATTAATATTCACGTTGCAACAAATAAACAACGATCTGTACATTTAATATAAAAATTAAACCTAAGGACGGAAAACAGAAAACGCTAAGACTAACCAGATGTTCAACGCCCACTGTTTAAGAATTTCCATTTTTTTGTTTTGTTTTTTTTTTGTTTTTTTTTGTTTTTTTTTTCTTTAAATGGTAAGTGATCTGAACCTACCACTATATAGTATATCTCTTACGCGTTTACTACCTTTCAATGCATAGAACAGTGGGCTATCTCTTTATGTTATTGTAACGCATGGTAGCATCTTAAAGAATTCCCTTAATTTATAATGTCTAGGATATGCCCAAACAACCTCTTGTGCAAAAAATGTTTTTTTTCTTTATGGTACTGGTACAAAACTCCTTATTTATATCTCGGACTATCAGGTGGCGTGGGTTGAGTGTTTGTCCTTTGTTTCGGTCCAGTTTTGAACGACATCTTTTTCACAGGTCTCGGCGAAATTCCATGAAGTGCTGTGCTGTCTGGTGTGTCATTGCTAAACCATACTCTGCTCCCGTCGGAAACTGAAAGCATAGTCGGCAAGAATTGTTTCGATTGGAGTTGTGCGTTTTCAATCAAAAGCCGTATAAGAAATAATTACACGTATTACAGTAATTGCAATGATTCAGTTGAACGTATGCAAATATATAACAGCAAAACTAAACGTGCAGTTTGTTAAAGAAAAAAAATAATACATAATTAAATATTAGACTCTATGCTACTTATGCATGTAGGAAAAAAATTGAATAAAAAAAGATTCTATCTTTGTTTTTTTTTTTTTCTGTTCATATATATAACATAATATTGTAAAATGAAATAAGCAAGCTATAAAAATTGAAGTGTTAAAATGTTCGCGTAATTTCTGACGTGTGAAGAAAACTGAAGTGAAGTATTTTTACATTTAATTCTCGAGTCGTGATGGAGACATGAATGCCTACATTTATGAATAGGCAAGATTTATTTACAACTACATGAGTTGCAAAAAGCTACTTGCAATGTACAATGCTATAAATATATATAATCTTGGAGGACTGTCTTAAGTTGTAGATGCCTTTCCCCTTTCATGAATTTATAATTATAAACTTTTATAATTCATTGCAAGATGATGAAGGAAAAATTTCCACTTCTCATAGTAGTCTTCTAAAAAAAGGTACATATTTATAGTATTGTACAATATTTCAGTCTATAAAGCAACATTTACAGTATGGCACATGTAATATGACATGGATGTAAAAAATTATGTATCAATCTATGTCTAATATGCATGTAAAAAGGAAATTTTACCTCTGAATAGATTGTGTAAGACTGTTAAACAAAAATATAATTAAGAGACATGTGAATATCAAACAAAGAACAATTGCAATATATTTATCTTCAGTCTTGTTTTTTTTTTCCAGAAAATATATATCAATACGTTTGTATATATTTTAAGTACAGGTGAACCAACGTTAGCGTTATATTTCTTTAAGTTCCAAATAAAATGTGTAATGTTACTTTAGATAATAAAAGTGTAAAGTTATACTTTTCTATGTACTTAAATAGATTGGAGTTCATTGAGTGAAACATAAAAATTGGTGTATATAAATTTGCATAATTACTAACATATTATAACATATAAAACCACTACCAGGTAATCTATGAGAGAAGAGAAATAAAACAGGATACACTTCATAGAGACGAAGAAACGTTGGAAAAACAGCAAAGAAAAAAAATAAATAAATTATAATACTACCTTGTTGGGTGGTGTTACAAGGTGGGTGGGGGTTAGTGGACTGAATTAGTCACCTCTATTCGCGCGGTTATCACTGCTGGCTGCTGACGAACTTCGCAGACCAGATCGACCCTGATGAGAATCTATAAGCGCTGCTGCGAGGTTTGACGATGCTGTGGATTGCACGCTTGTTGTAGATCCTGATAGTGTGATATTGATAATAATAATCATAATGACTGACAACTAAAACTCGTGCAGAAACTATTGAAAAAAGTTCTTAGTATTCAGCTATAAACTGTTCACAGCTTCTATATGGGAAACGTACTAAAGAAAAAGAAAAAAAGGTCTATCTTGTAATCACTATAAAGATGAAAACTGTGCACTGAATTGAACTGTAAACAAACACGATTCAAACTTAGCTATGCAGCTATTGGTGAGTCGGACAAATTTCTATGGACGTATATAAAAAGTTATAGAATTTGTTTTTCTTACTAACATATACAAACTAACCAGATACGGAAGAAGCCCCACTAAACGGACTCGGTGGTTGCACGGGAGAGTATACATTGGCTGTGAATTCTTCGAACGTAGTAGCTTCTTTGTGATTCCTCATAACAGTATCGATAGATCTTGCTCTTTCCTCATAACTGAAATATTTAACATTAACAAAGAAATAAAATAAATATTAATCAGAGATGATAAAATAAAGGGTGATACACTTACTAATGTTGATACAACGTAAGTGTAGACCGTTTTGCCCTACTTGCCGCTAATGCCGTTGTTCTCACTAATCCGGGTAAAACTTTATCCTCAACGATACATTCATCAAACAAGGGTCCAAAGAATGGAATTTCTGGTTTTCGAGAAATCTGAATTCTGTACAGTTTGTTGTGCAACGGATAAATTACTATTAGAACATCACAAAATTCAGTTGGTATAATATCTCTACGATAATCTCTCCAATGTTCAGACCAAACAATGTGAATTTCATCGTTACCAAGGTGTCGAGTCTGGAATAATTTTACTTTAGACATCTCATTTTAACATACTCTTTTCATGGATTTGGATAAATAAATGCATACTTTTTGCAATAAACTTTCCGGACTATCGGAAGGCATTCTAGTCGCTACGTGAAAAAGAATTTCAGTAAAAGACGTGGCGAAATACGGCGCTGTAACACCGGACGCCTTTCCAGGCACAAGACCTCCGAGAAAACCTGTATGTGATTCAAGTTCGACCTCCCAAGCCAATCTCGCGATAAAGCTTTCGTATTCTTTGCTAGCAGTGACATTACTCAATATGGAGTTCTTATCCTCCTGTCCTTGACTAACATAAATTACTGCTATTTTATGCGTTTCCCTGGATCGCTGACTATCGAGATTTCGCAATTCTCGTAAAAGCTTCTCATTTTTCGATAATAAATGCAGTTTTGTACGTTGTTCCCATCCGGATAAACCCAAGTGCGAAAATAAAAGGCGGCAGTGATGAAATGGTGCTGGAGGTGGACGACACGATGGTGGGCTTATTGCTGACGCACACATACTGAAACGATAATGATGCGTATATGTTTCGAAATCACGATTACACCATTGCACGAAGATATAAAATACCTGATGTGTTGACTCCAATTATTGATATGCTCTTGTTCCGCGTTCCTTTGACTGAGAATGGTCGCGATGGTTTCACTTTCGAGGTAGTGGCCTTGTGGTGGATTAGCAGGCGCATTAAGTGCTATTTCTGGATTAGTTAATACTTCCGGACTTGTGTGTCCTATATATTGTAAGAGCTAGAAATAAAAATTAGTTAAAAATAATTGATAATTTAAATATTAATATTTTTAAAATATCGAAGCCTACATCATCCAAATTGTCCATGTCGCTAGCGGCATTTGCAAACGTAGGCAATATATGAGGCTCGCGATGCCTTATTGTATGTCGAGGTGTACAAGTTTGAGGTGTAATAATGCTTAAATCTTCTCCGTATACTTTTGGTTTCCACTCGACTGAAAATATTCATATGGCTAAAATCTGAATTTCGATGTGTAATAGGATGAAAATTTATTAATAGGTATTTTTGTTACCATGTTTGATAAATGCTACAGGCATGTCATCTTCGACAAACGGTTGACTGTATAAAATAGAGCTATCCCAAGATGCTTTTCCAGCTAGATCTCGCAATAAGACTCTAACTAACGATGGTGCTGTTGTTAATCCTGCAGTAACACCTCCTCCAGGAGCATCCAGGGCTGCCAGTTCAACCAGTGACATTATTACAGAATTTGATAACATTAATAGTTGTATATTTGGTGCATGAAAAATGGCAGAAGATAACTCATCTCCATCGATTCCTGGTACATCATCTAATTCGACCACTAACGAAGACAATCGCGCGGCTCCAATACCCATTGGAAAGTGTCCCAAATGATTTATTAAATGCATCATTACCTAGAAGAAAATTAAAAATTTTGATTTGAAAATTGTAATTAAAAAAATGTGTATATCTATGATAAACTACCATCTTTGCTGCTAATTGGACAGACTGAATATTGCCCCGATACGGTGATTTCGTGCCAGTGTCGTCAGCTAAATTGTCCAGAGTAATATCAGGTTCGAAATAGCCATCTTCATCTTCGTGACTTTTATTTAACTGTGATACATCTTTGCCGATTTTATCTTGCACTATGTTGTCTAAAACCTGCATGTATTCATAAAACTTTAGTTATATTATAATCATAGAAATATTTAAATTTATATAAATCTTTATTACGTTACTGACCGTGAATAAAGTCATTAAAAGAGGTTTTCCTTGAAATACTCGCAATAGAACAGATGGACCAAGATGCATAGCCCACTCGCCCAAACAGAACAACATTGATACCGTCAAAGGACCGCGTCGTTCACGAGTACTCATATATCCAAGTGTTTCTGATAAAATCTACAATATACAAATAAAATACACACGTGTATTCTTGTCGCATTTTAAAATAATACCTTTATATGAAACTTACTTGAATTATTTTACATGGCACATTCGGATACAGCTCTAATAAGGTGTCCGCTTTATCGCATAATAGTAAAAGGGAGTCGCACGCCACTTGAGCAACAGTGGCATGACTAGCCTACAGAATAAAAAAAGACATCAAATTTAAAATATCGTTTTTTTTCGTATATTATATTCTAATTAGTATTACACAGGAAACATGCTAATTACTAACATACGTAAGATACAACAAAATCAGAAACATTGCAATATTATTGGACAGTTTACACATACGACCGTGCAATAAAACATGCAATGTTGACGACATCCTTAAAAAGACACGAAGACATCAGTCGATAGGTAAATACTGTAACAACACATAATGAGGAGTCGGCATGGGTTAGTTGATCCAAGAAAAACTACCTGATCCATTAGTGGGACAGAGAAACCAGCTCTACGACGTTCCGCCCTTTGGATCCGCTGTCAATCAGACTCAATGGAAGAGATACTGAATTTTGCACTACTATTACTACATATATACTAATAATACACTACATGATGCTCACTACTTAACTAAAAATTACAACCCAAATATAAAATGTTAAACAGCTGTAACATATTTATATACGTTTTATAACATGCACAATACCTTATGCTCCAAAAAATCCACACAGATATTTATTATAATTTATCTAGAATCATCTACTTATAATAAACTCAAGAAACTTACTCTAAGTGCTAAAAGAAGAACCGTGACAGCTTCTGGAATTCTCGAATGTTGATTTTTGTAGCACAATTCTCTATACACAAACATAGTAATACTCGAAAGAGCCACGCATCTTGCAACACCGGTCGGTTCCTGCCTACAACTTCTTAAAAGAATCGTGATTATATGCTCCTAGAATAAAACGATTTGTATCAAGATATTTTCGCTAAATCAATGACACATAAATAAATGTCGCGCTTAATTACCTTCGCATCTGGACACGTCATAGTTACGATATCGGTTGCAGTGGGTTGTAATACAGGTAATTTAACTGCAGTGGTGGGTAATGATAATAACGATCCAATTATCGAGACGGCTTCACTCCTTGGTGCCTGAAACGATATTAATCATAAGCATGCAATTCATATAACGGCATTGTTAAATTACTATGAAATTTCCATAATACCTCAATATCCTGACTGCTCAATATAACATTAGCAGCGTGAATATAATCCAAAATTAAAAGGCTAGATCCAGGAAGATTTAAACTAAACAACCTAGGGCCTGTATACTTGACCAACACGTGTAGTACTTTACTGTCATTACTAACGATACCATTATGAACTGCGCGATAAAAAAGAGTCAGATGTTGTTTTGGTAAATTAATATCCTGTGGCTGTACTGTTAAAAGACAGATCAAACGGTATGCTGCCAATTTACCAACTTCATATTGACTAGGAAGTTGTATCGCCTATAAGAGATACAATTTTACGATCTGTAAACGATGTTTTACATAAGTTGTGTTTCATAAATAATGAATTAATATCAACCTTAAAACACCATGGAGCAATGACTGTCAATGGTGGTATAAGTTCTGGAGCTGGTGGGGTTACCTGATTGTCTCCAGAGACACCTTGATTTAAACGAATCTAAATGGTATAAAAATGTTAATGATAGTGTAAAGTGTACAAAATTATATTGTTTTTAGTACAATATAAAGCATAAGGCATCATACTTTTAGAAGTGTCTGTGTAAGCTGAACCAGATAATCCATAACTTGACCATGAAGGATTGGATCTTGAATGTTATTCACGTCTCCCAAAGCTGATAACATACGACGCCATAATACAACCGCTACGTCGGGTAACCATCCACGAACACCACCACCTGCCATAACAGATCTCCTTTCCGATGCATCGTTAGTATCTGTAAGTAAATAATGCAGTTTTAAAAATAGTACGGACGTTGATAATTATACTGCATGTAAAGAATAAATAAATTCTGTTAACAAAGTGAAAGTACTCTTGAGAAATTTTTTCATCGATCGAAACACTGGAGCTCACAAAACTTATTAGTGACTGAGTAGAAACGCATCACAAACGTAAAGAAAATGTGCAGCCCCGCGTAAATTTACTTCGTGACTATATCAAATTGTGCGCTATAAATAGTGAAAGAGATTTCTCCACTGCGTTATTATTATTATTATTATTATTATTTATGTAATAATATTTCCTTGTTAGTCTTATACTTGTGAAGAATTTGATGTGGTAAATAAAGAGAAAAACAAATACGCACAGATACTTGAAAATCATTAAAGATGTTTACACGTTATAAAAATGATGTTATCAGATTTCAATGCAGTTGTTAAACAGCGGCAAATGATATACTTACCGATACTGCTGCCGTCAATATTCTCTATCTGTATCGGACTGTCTTTGTTGCTGTCAACTCCGCTGCTCGGCGTTGGAGACGGACAACGTGGAGATGGTGGTTCACTATCGACTATAACAATGTTATCCAACGACTTAGCACGCCTGTTGGGTAACATTTTCCGACCAACTATTGACGATGATGCAGAACCATTTGACAGTAGTCGCGCCATGTCTTGCTCTATCGATAGAGGGAGTACTGCGCGGGTGGAAATTGTTTACACTTAATACACAAATAAGCCACAACCACTGGGAAAAATGTTCATACCAGATCAATTGAAATAACGCTTTATCATCTAAAATTAGACGAAAGCACACCATTAAAGAGTAGGTTGCGAATGAAGGGAGTGATACAAAAAAGGGCGAAAAAGAAATTTATGAAATGAGACAAGTGTCTAGCCGACGCCAGACTACTTATTTTTAAACCAATGTCAGCGACAAAGCAAAAAAATAGTAAGAGACAAAGTTATAAATAAATTGCGCGCGCTATCAGCAACACAGATGGCACTGCTAAGTGATATATAAATTGTTAAACTATAATAAATAAAAAAACCAAAGTTCCAATCTGATATTCAGTGTATTCACTTACCAGGAATACCGCTGTGCACGGTATGGGCACGATTTCTATGAAGCTTTGTACGTGTTTTTGCATTGTATATCGTATTATCGCTAGCACTACGAGGAAGTGGTCGTACTTTCCTCAGGTCTCGCATCGGGTGATCTATTAAGAACAAATGTTGAACTTCATCGAAGGTAAGAAATTAAAAATCTAAAATAAAGAACGGATTGTTAATTTAATGTTCCTTACCTGTAACATTTTCCTTAGATACGGTACTATTATCTTGATCGACGCTTCCTTTGCGTGGAGGTTGAACACTTCCGGTGGAAGCAGCTCGGCTCCCAACACCGCGACGTTTTTTAGTTTTTTGTTCACTCAGTCTGTCCAGTGGTAAATCATTTAGATCCAAGTTGTACACATGCCTGGCAAGTACCCTCGTTAAGGTGTCTAACGTTTTCTGTAAAGTAACCATCAAATATTGAACAACGCGAGTACTTTATGGCTCGTAAATATTGAGGAACATAAATTTTATTTGAACTAACCGCCCACTCTCGTATTAATTCTTCCCATTGCGTTAAAGACGTCAATACTTCCAGAAACTGATCCCATAATTGCGTAGAAATAACAACATTTAAATTGGCTTTAATCCACGTTACGATTAAAGTCTGAAATATGGCAGGGGCAAGCTTGCCGCCGATGCTTTCTTGAACTTTGCGTCGAGAAGATTTCTCGTTTAAAACAAGTGATGTGATTTGTAATAATACCCTAATAAGTAAAAAATAAAATTATAACTGTAAATTTACGAAAAATTTCATTTCTTGAAAATAAAAATACGATTTCTTAGGTATTTACCTAAGCAACTGTTCCCAAGTACCCGGTTCTAATCTAGAATTCATTACAACATATCGATACACATTTAATACTCTTTTGCAACTATCTGTCTGTTCTTCAAGTAACATAAGGGATGCATTCGCTCCAATATTTTCTAAGAAGAAAACATTAGAAGCTTGCGTAATGAACACTTGCAGAACGTTTTGTAATCCCGCCCTTATAAATAAATTTTCTCTGTGTATAGCACCGAGGTAAGAATCATTCCTTAATCGTGTCTGTCGATAAGTTTCAGATGGACTTTTGTCAAAATCACTAATATCCTTCCTGGAATTTTCTTCGAAATCTCTTTCCTTGTGACCATCTAATGGTTCTAACATAAATGGTGGTAGTTCCTAATAAAAAATAATAAGCAGATATTAATGACTGTACTATCGTAACTTTTTCAATTTTTATCTTACATTCATCTGAATCCAATCTTTATAAACGGCTATAGCCTTTCTTATAGCACCAGCATGATTAAAATCCAATAAAAATGCTTGTCTATACAATTCGTGTACAAGGTTCACATTGTCCCTGTTACCATATAGAACTTCTCTAACAAGAGTAACTGCTGAGACACTACTATCTTCTTGATTTTGATTCTCTTGCTGAGATGCACTTGATTCAGGAGACAGTAAAGTCGAGTCAGCAGAAGCGTTTTGTGTAACTGAAACACGCCGGAGTTCCGACTCTGTAGTTTCCTCATTTGGAGTTGTGCTAAAATAAAAGTTTTTGCTGAAAATTAAATGTATTGAAAAAAAAAAAAATTATATCCATATAATGTTAAATTTTAAACGTTAGAATACCTATGCGAAAGGTGTGCGACACGAGCATCTTTTCTAGCGATATGGGTAAAACTAGCGATCCACTTAATCAAAGCAACTTTACATAATACATAATTATCGTAACTCTGATTCATTTGTTTACGCATCGTAGGCAATTCTAAATTCGGTTTGTACAACGAGAAATTATCGTCAAACTCAGGACAAATATGACGAAGATACGTAGCTTTAAAACGTTCTAATAAAAATTGAAAAGTCTTGTGCTGTCGTGACGATTTATCTCTCCATTCTATCCTTACAACCTGCAAACAAGATAAGCGGAAATTTCGACAATATTGACTTTAGCATTGCATTGTTTCCCTGTGACCATCTAATGGTTTTAACATGAATGGTGGTTAGATGTACCTGAGTAACCATAAATTCAAGTAATGCTTCTAAAAATCGAACAGTCTCATTATCAAGAGGCTTTTCCCCACTTTGTGGGGGTAAAATAGGTCCATTGTCAACTGGAGTGACAGGACACTGGTTTGAACCATTGTCATGAAAAGTACTTTGTGATAGTTGTGTATCATAAAATTCCTTCTTATCTTTATCATCACAACCAATAACCCTTGCAAGTTTATCTTTTCTCCCATCTATCCTACGCTCAGACTTATAAGGAGATGGTTGTTGGGGTGGAAACCCTGGTACCAAGCTTGCAAACATCTGATGTATGTGTTCAGGTGCATTTTCACCAAGTGCTTGGTACCACAAAATAAAGTACCTAAAATCAATTTATATTTCATAAAGATATTAATAAATACAACTCTTGTTATGTAATAATATTATTGAATATATACCTTATAGCTTCTCTGCGAAGTTTCCAACTATTACCAGGATGTAAAAGTTTCTGCAAAATTCTTGCTAAACTATGACATTGCCATCTTCTATTAAGAAGTTCAGGGAGAAGTGTTAAAACTTTCTCTAAGAGTTGCAGTACCTGTTCCAATTCCTCCCTATGTGCTTTATGCACTATAAAGGAAACAACTTTTATTTATGTATATAATGTTTAGACATGTGATTTTTACTTAGTATTTAATGAATAAATAAAAAGATAAAAAAAAAGCACCAGTAGATCTTCTATGTACATACTAGATATAATGATATTATACTTGTATGATCAGATGTAATGATCAGATTAATGGAACTCAGACTGCAACATGCAAGGGACATATACTCTGTCGTCTGTCTGTTACTCACCAATGTGGAAGGAAAGTTCTGGCAGCAAAATAGAAAGAAAACAAGCAAATAGTAAAATAATGATAATATTGCAATTGCAAATATTATACATAATTATAATGTTAATATATTTAATGTAATCATAGTTTTATAAAAAAAATTGTGTTTGATTATACTGTCAGAAATTGCAGTCACATTTA